TTCATAGGTGGATTTCTGCTGAATTAGAGGCAAACTATTCATCAAATCTTCTTACTAATTGGTTGGCTCCTGGAGGTGAGCCATGTAGGGAATCAAGAACAGTGGATGTAAAGATTCCAGCTTTGGATGGTCGCGAAAACGTTGAATTGTCAGCAGGGGATATTCATGAGTTTGTTTTCCATGCATTGGATTATTCTGGGAAACCCCATTGTTTGGGTGGTGATTATTTTGAGACTGATCTTGCTGGTGAAACATGGAAGTCTAGGCCTCCCCTTAAAGATTTAGGCAATGGTACTTACCACTTTTCCCTGCAAGTCCATCCTGATTTTGCTGGGGATTACAATCTTATGGTTATTCTACTATTTCGACATTATGAAGGCTTGACGTTTTCGCCTGAAAGATTTGCATATGACAAGGTTCTCCGCGTAATCCCAGTCAAGTTCTCCAAATCCTCTGTTGAATTACCTGAAATATCTCAATGCAAGAAGTCAGATCTTGTTAGAGATGTGTGGTCTGGTCGATGGACTCGTCATGCTAAGAATAATAGCTGCTCAATTAGCAATGACGGGCGATACAGATGTCAAGAACCAAATTTCCCATGCCAAAAACCATGGTGTGATGGACCATTGGGGTTGTTGGAGAGCAATGGTTGGGTATATTCAACACATTGTTCATTCAAGATGTTCTCAAGTGAAGTAGCCTGGAATTGTTTGACTGGTCGCTGGATTTTCTGGTGGGGCGATTCAAATCACTGTGACACAGTGAGAAACATCCTTAATTTCATTTTAGATGTGAATGATAAGAAGGATGTCCCAAGAAGAGTTGATATGAACATTAGCAACCCGAGGAATCCATCAAAAACTGTTCGATTTACTAACATTTACAATGGACATCCTAACGAGACAGGCAAGTATCGAGGCTTGAATTCGTTGACAGATGCTGACTATAGAGAACTTTTGAAAGGGTACTTTTCTGGAAATGTTGTTCCAGACACTATAATCATGAATTCGGGCTTACATGATGGAGTGTATTGGCCAAATATTAGGCATTTCATTAAAGGCGCCGACTATGCTGCATCATTCTGGGCTGAGGTATTTAATGGGGTAAGGCAGAGAGGGTTGACGCCACCAGAGGTCATATATAGGACCACGGTTACCACTGGCGGATATGCTAGAAGATTGGCATTCAATCCAAATAAAATGGAGGCGTTCAATGGGGTAGTCCTGGATAAGTTGAGGGCATATGGTCTAGTTGATCGTGTCATTGATGATTTTGACATGACTTATCCGTGGCATTACGATAACCGATGCAATGACGGGGTGCATTATGGCCGTGCTCCTGCCAAGCTGAAGTGGAGGGATGGCCAGATTGGACACCAGTACTTTGTGGACCTTATGCTTGGTCATGTACTGCTTAATGCATTATGTGCAGGATAAGCAGCGCATTGTCTCTGCTTTTGGCTGGCAATTTGCATATACCAATCTGAAGATGCAGGTAACTTCAAGCATTTGGATGGTGAAAGAAGTTTGGTGATATCTCAGTGATATTCTGGAAATATCTATCTGTATTTTACTGTTATTATGTTTTCTGAAGCTGATTTGCTTCCACATTGTAAGTCATATAATATTGTAAGTCATATATTATTTTAAGTCATATACTAGTGCCAATGCTAAAGGTTGTATAGTGGAATACTAAAGAATAGTGTGGTGTAATTCATTTTTTGAACTTCTTGTAGAGTTCTGGTCCATTTGCTAGGACTATTGTAGATCTAAAGAAATACTATTACCATTTACTTCATTGATTATATTTATTCCTTTATTCCCCTATGGAGTTCATATACTTTTGAGTTTTGATGGGTATTTGTTCATAATTTTGTGCAAATCGTGTCCTTTTTGTGCGGATGTGAAATCCCTGGACAGTTAGTTCTTTAAAGGCTTCAGGTACAACTAACTTTTTTTTGACCCTGCGAGTGCACAGGAAAAGTAGTTTGATGTTTTTGGCAAAATAATTAGATATTAGTAAGTATAATTTTGATTAGGGAAAAGGGTCAAATATACACCTCTACTTTGATATATTGTTCACATCTACCCTCCGTTATACTATCCGGACATATTTACCCTTATCGATAAATAAAACTTTTTAAAAACATCCTTCATCCAACGGAAATCCACTAGATTAATAAAATAATTATTTAAAAAAATTATTAACCCATAACCCGTTAAACCTATCATATAAACTACGGAACCTAGATTTCTAAGACGTCTTAACACATTTTATTCATTTGGAGAGAGACCGAGAATGATGGTGGCAGTAAGATTAGTAAGAACTTATATTTTTGGTTCTTAGTTGTTCATGGTGGCATTAGGATGTTATGTTATCACTTTCGATTTTATTTTTTGTGGTTATAATATGGCATCACTTTGTCTAATATAATGCACACTGGACAGCTGGTTTTTATGTCGGTAACAACTAATATATACTTTAACAATACTTTTGTTTGGTTAATACATGAAGTTAGTGTACTTAGATTGTTAAGTTACTTTTCAGCTTGTTGGTGTACTTTCATTCCCGATGAATTTTTTAGATTGTAGCTTGATATTAAATTGAATCTCCTCTAATTATTTTCTAATATTTATTCATTATAAGTTCAATTGTTACTAAGAATTATGAGTATCCCATCCCATAATATGGAATCTGATTTTGATTCTTAAGACGTGATTTGACAATAATTACTCGTTGCCTAAATGCTTAAATCAGAATAAGAAAATCACGGTCCTTGAATACTCATCAACAAAGGCTCACTGTTGAAGGAAGAAATACCTCGGTAACTGCCTCAAGACTTCAGAAATGTCTACCTAATAAGATGCTATAAATATTCAAGTCATGGTGGAAAGAAAATCATGGTGAATACTCGGTACAGTTCGATATGGTGAAAAAAACAAAGAGAGAAGCTAGCAAAAAAAAATTGAAAAAGGTAGAATATAATAAACATACAATAAGGATATTAAAAAATTGGGACTCAATATATAAATGAATATATAGTTATCGGTATTTTTATGTCTTTCACTTTTTGAGTTCAATAAGTGACTTTGAAGGAGATGACTAATCTATGAGGAAGAAGTGCAGTAAATAAAAGGCATTTAACAAGTTATTAATGGATTTAAAAAAACAGATTTTTTTTAATTTGGTATCTTTCTGTTAGATGAAGGGTATTTTTAAAAAATTTAGTTAACGATAGGGGTAGATGTGGCCCGATAGTACAAATGAGGATAGATATAAACAATATACTAAAGTAAATGAATATATTTGACCCTTTTGATTATAATAATCATTGCAAGTAAATTACATTATATTATGTCAAAAGCTAGAAGAAAACCATCATGTATGAAAAAGCAAGGGAGCCTTTTCAGAGAGTGAAAATCATTTTGGGAAATAAATAAATAAATCAAAATCCCAATTATTTTATCTTATGTTTGATTAAAAATTGTGATTTCGATACAAGAACTCTTGGAAATAGTTATACCACAATATTGATATAGTTTTATACCACACTTAATATGGAATAACAATCCCACTGTTAGCTAATTCAGGGATAAAACAACCACATGACAATGATGTGAAATACCAAAATTCTTCTCCAAAATGTCAATCTCCAAAATTCTTCTCTCCAAAGCTTTTCTCTCTGAGAAAAGACAAGTGATAAGCATTCTTCAACATCCAACCTGAGGTTGTGGGTTTCATCAAGGGAGTAAAATGGTAAAATTTTTATGTGGCACCCAGTTTTGTCCCACCCAATGAATTTGTACCTACTTTTAAAAAAAAAATTTAACTGATATTCAATTTTTAGATAACTTCAGATACATACACTTTTCTCTTCTTTATTGTTGTTTTCTTCTTCTTTGTGCTTTGAGTTTCTTCTTCTTTCTTAGTTTCAAAATGAGTTTGTTAAACTTGTTGTTTTGACAATTTGATGACTAGGATTTTTTCTTTACGATATTTGGAAGTTATGTTTCAAATTTGAGCTCTTTTGGAGCAGATTTGAGCATTGAGTCGTGTATTGGGTTGTTAAAATTCGAAGAACAAGTTTATGCTTCAGAATTTAAGATTCGAAATCTGAAGTTGCATTCAATAGATTGAACCACTAAAGATTCGAATTTCTGAAGTTGCATTTGAACGATAAAAGAACTTCTGATTTGATTTCTGAAGTTGCATTGAAGAGATTGAACTATTTCAGATTCGAATTTCTGAAGTTGCATTTGAAAGATAGAAGAACTTCATATCTAATTTCTGAAGTAGCATTGAAGAGATTGAACTACTTCAGATCCGAACGAGTACACTTTACAAAATTTTGTGCAATATGCGGATAACTTCAATGGTGACCCCAAAAGTGGGTATATGATAATACCCACCAAAATGTGGGGAACTACTAGGGAGGGGTTAAGAAGCTCTTCTTTTATTTTACTCTAAGGTCAAAGTTAAATATAAAATAAAAATTTATCCAAGCTTATCTAGTGTAAAGAACCTAATACATATTTTATATTGTACAATGTACACCATATATTCAAGTTTTACTCCGATAAACAACATCTACCAAAAAAAAAAACGTTCACTAAATAATCCTATTTTATTATTTAATTATCGTAGTATAATCCTCGCATTGTAACCCTAGCATATCGGAAACAACCTCTCTATCTTCTCAAGGTAGGGGTAAAGTCTGCGTGCTCACTACCCTCCCCAAATCCTACTTGGATTTGTTGGTATTGTTGTTGTAATCCTAGTATAACTAGTTCATAAGCCAAACGATCCCTTAAAAACTATCCCTTTACACGGAAGGTATCCAAGCTAGAAACTAGACACAACAAATAGTAAACTACCAATCAAATGTACATGTCAAATAATTAAAGTACAATTGTGCTCTCTTTCCAGAATAAATATACAAGACAGAACAACCTTTTACCATGAAATATTCAAATCTAAGAATCCAGCATTATCTCCAATAGAAGGATAAATATTCAATCTCCATTGCTAATTTCCAATCTTGCGAAAAATCAATTCCAAAATTCATGACAAAGAATGGAAAAAAATGATACGTTCTTCTAGACTACCATTCACTAGGTAAAGACAATATTATACTTTTCCTCATTCTGAAGTGTACATGTAACTGGTAGGATACATAGAAATAAAGAATGTAAAGGCAAAATATAATTCATTGAAGTTGCAGGATCAACCCGTTTAGTTCCATGGATCATCCCACCCGCTCGGACCTTCTCGCTTGACGAAGCTCATTATGGCTTCAACAGCTTCAGCAACTCTGTTAGATAGAGAATGGTTCCCATGTTCAATTTCAACTTTTTCAGCACCACCCATTGCTCTACACAATCTGCACCAAGTTCAAAATGCATAGGCAACTATGGTCAAGTAACCGTGAGGACAAATGTATAAGAACAAGAACACACAAAAAGGTCTGCAAAAGGTTTTGTGCTTGCCTATCAACCAACGCTTTCTTATCAACATAATCTGGAACGTACTCGTCACCCATGGAAAATATAACCTGCAGAGAATAGGTGAGAATCAGAACCTGCCATTTTGTCCTTGTAAACAGATTAAAACTTCTAGGCCTATGTGGAAAATGTCAAAAGGGACATTTTATCCAGGAAATTCACCATGTCTGTTTCTTTCTTTTGCCATGTAACACGCTTAAAAAGTAACAAAAATTGCTCGGACCTAAACTAAAGTCTTTCTACAGAGTAAACTAAAAGGAAAATTAGCTTTTGAAAATTGAAGGGACTTTGTTCTCAACCTGACAAGGAGTGTTAGACATGTGCCCAAGTCTTTGCTTCAGCTGGTCATCACTAAAGTCAGAACTGAACAAGTCGTCCTCGCCATTGTATGCGCAAAGTGAGTGATATCTGTCAAAAACATCATTATTAGGAAGGCAACCATGTGTAGAAAAGAGTAAGCAAAGACTTGAGATTCCAAACAAGAAATCCAACTTCTTGTTCAGACCTCTATCATATCTATGATGGCCTTCTTTTCTGATATCGTATATGCCAGAGAATCCACTTATGCCTCAGTGGAAGAACTCCGCTAAAAGTTTCTGAAGGACCTCTTCATTGTGAGGCATTTTCCACGTCATCCTCAATATCTTGCCTTATTATAAAATTCCAGTTGAACGAATAGAAGGGAAAGGTGTCTTTATTGCAATTAATTCACGGTTTTTATTTGATAATTATTGTTCATTATCATAACTTCGTAATTGTAATAAACTAACTTGGAGCGTGCTTTTTAATGCATATAATTGACCTTTTTTTTTCTTTTTTTCTTTTTTTCTTTTCAACTATGCTGTGACTATGCTTTTCCTGAGCCTAAGGTCTATCGGAAACCAACTCTCTACCTCCACAAGGTAGGGATAAGGTCTCCGTACATACTACCCTCCCCCGTGGGATTACACTGGATTTTTCGTAGTTGTTGTAGTTGACCTCCTTTGAATTAAGATTCAGTAGAAACCATGATCATGAAGTGGTAGAGTGCAGTATACGGGAAAGTAACTGGACTACACCATCGTCCTTACCTAAATGCAGTAATTGGGGCATCTGGATTTGCCTTCCTTGGCATTAACTCTGATTCACGACCTTCACTTATCATGTTTGAGGCCAAATCAATCATAGAAGCAGTATCAGGAAGAGTGGCTTTGTATTCTCGATCGCTAACTGGAGCCTGAAAAGCCAAAAGAACATTATGGTTGATGCTGAAAGCAGCACAATACCCAGATTACATAAAGTTGGCCGCATAATAGTAGCTATGAGAACACAGATACTATTCCAAACGCTGTCTCCATATTCACCACGCTTAAGACTGATCTCTCAAGATAAGATTACACTGCCAGCTTGATTCTCTCTCAGAAGAAAAGCACCTGAACTCTCATAATTGAATGTCAGTTAAACGCCAGTAACTGACCGCAACAATTATATTTTCCTCCTTCCCGTCTCACCATTATATTTTCATCACNACGCACACACATACACATTAACTGCAAAACTCAAACAGCATATGACTTTGAAGACCGCCTTAACTCCATTCGAACTAAATGTAGGTCATTCACCAGTAACTGCAAGAGTCACATATCAGGTATGAAGTAATAAAGATATCTAAGAGGCAAAATCTTGTCCGTTTTACAAATTTCTCCTCACTAAAGAAAGACGGAGATTTGGATAAACCATTAGAGCTCAAAGGACCATATCCATTGCATGTGCTATCATGAGCATTGAGGTACAGTAAGTTAGCACATTCAGCTAAAATGGTAGGAAGCATGTACTGAACTTATTTGTATCAAAAGAGGCAACTTAAACTACAATTTTTAAGCAGGTATTACCTGCAATATGGCTGCACGTACTGCTCTGGAGCATGCAGCATTTGTGCGCATGTAATACACTATATCCTGTATACAAATGGAGAAAGTCAGTTTCCTCTATCCTCATGTTTCGTGCATAATGATATTACATGCTTTTTTTACTGGAGTAGCATCAAATGTTCGATTTGTCCATTCAATGAAATAAATACCTACCTGACAGCCAGTGCTGTGCCCAAGTAGTACCACACCTTCAGAATCTTCCTTGTTTATCAAGTAACTTATCAACCGATCAAGCTCCGTTGCGTCCTTTAGAAATTCACGGAGGTAGAAGGAAGTTAAGCTCACAAACACAAGCAAAAAGAGGAATAGCTCTAAACAAGCAGATCCAAAGGTTTATGCTCCCAAAACAGGAAACATTATTGAGTGTGGTAAATATATAAACGCAATATTTTGAATGCACAAGTGTTAGGACGTCAAACATAGACATAAGAACATGCTCTTTTGAAAACCAAAATGAAGACTAAAATAGGAAAATAATCATTAATACAAAAGCAGATCTGGGACACGACAATTTCACAAGAAATGAGGCTTGACATTTGTGTAAAACATATAGGGGCATGCAAGGTTTAACGTTTTATAGGTATATATATGACACCATAAATTGGTACAAAATCATTATTTTTTATGACGATGGTGTTCGGGCCAGCTTGTACAACTCGACTATTCCACCAGGTACCTGCTACCTCCCACCAGCACAGGTACTAGGTAACTCCGCTTACCGAGGTTTAGGAAGATAGAAAGAAATCACCTAGTGATTTTTGCCTCCGATGGGATTTGAACCTGAAACCTCGTGGTTCTCTTCCCACTTCATTGACCAATAGGCCACAACCTTGGGTGCTTGGTATAGAATCATATGTAAGCCTTGTGCTGTTGTAGATCATTCTTCCTTCTTTCCTTTTTTTTTTTTTTTTTTTTTTTTTTTTTTTTTTTTTTTTTTTGGTGGTGGGGAATGGGATAGAGGTTTGTTCTCATACCATTTATCCCAACCTTGTGTTCCCCCTCTTCCAAGAGGGCCTAATTTATAATTTATGATCTATTGTTCAAAAAATTGCCACTGACCAACATGCTGAATTTAATCATTTGAAGGAGAATAACATCTTTTGGTCAAGTTCCATGCACTTCTGAATGAGAGTATATAGAAGAACTGGCAGCAACCTTTCCAGTTATATGACAAGTATAGGAAAGTGAGGGTGATAGCCATGTTAAAGCACTAATTTAGATGAAGATGGAGCTGTATGGGGGTTTAAACAATCCAACAGGAATATCCAATTAGTGTTCCTCAAACCTTAACAACTACAAACACCATTCCAACATTTTCAATTCATTAAAAACTTCAGCGAGTAAAGATCCCAAAGCAACTGCCTTAAAATCATTTGAAGCAAATCTTAGCTTAAGTTCCATGTCCGAGAGATATAGGAGTTATTATGTGATCTATTCCTTTTTCTCAAACACAATTTCTCTTTGATTTCCAGCCTTGCAAACAGAGTAAATTGTCTCTAGTCCAGCTCCTTCTATATCCTTTTGACCTTAAAACTGTGTCAAGCCCTTACCCATCATAAATCCTTTATGATTAAGGAACTTCAAACAAGTTTCGGTATCAAAACTTCTGAAAAACAAACCACGAGCAAATTTGCACTGAATTATGATGTCTTCCGGCTGTACAAGACATCCTTGAAATTGCACAAACTTAAGTTTTTCTGGAACAGGATTGCACAATTTAAGCTTTTCCTTCTTTAAAAGTCTTTATTGTTTTCAGGGGAAGGCATATATAAGAACATGTTTCTATGGACCTGCGTAAATGCAAGATGCTTTGTTCACCGGGCTGCCCTTTATTTTTCTTCTTTCTATGGCCTAAATGAGTTGAGAGAGATTGTAACATTTACCTTTCACAGTACATGATCAATGATGGAATAACCTAATAAGCATGTCAAGAATCTACATATCAGATCTAGTACTCTACATATCAGTGAGAACAGTTTGAATATACGTGGAAAGAGGAGGCAGAGATTTTTACTTTTCTCAAGCTTGACGTTCCATATCCACTATAAGATGATGAAAGTAGAAACTGAACCAATGACCATTTTTCTTTATCCAAAGCAATAGCCAGAGGCTCCAAGTAACTGCAATAATNAGTAGCAGCAGATTTAAATACAGTTTTGGGGAATAGGTTGCAGAAAAAGAATTTCAAGGTAATTATCTTTAACTTTAGAATGTTATCGCTGAGGACCTCAGTCCAATAAATTCATGATTATGGAAAATGCAAAATCTTCGATAAGACATTTGAATTGAGCCAAGTCAAATAAGGGACAGTTCGAAAAGAAAATCATTTTTTCTTTCTTTGATAAGCCAGTTCGAAAAGAAAGATCTTCAATATATTTTGAACACCCTTAATCCAGACCATGAACAAAAAAGTGAAAAAAGAAAACAAAACATGGAGAAGGGAATGAGAAAAGAGGAAGAGAGGGTAGATGGGTGAGAGGGATGTTTAAACCAATATAACAAGATACTTACTCAGTAGCTAAAAATCCATCCGTTAGTCCACCTATGAAAATGACCTGTTGTTTATAATCACCCGTTTTAAAAGCAACCTGCAAGAAATTGAAGGCATCATGTTAGAGAATTGAGTACATAAGAGTAAATGGCATTGGAAGTCCTTGAAGTTTTTGATTCTATAATTACTTGCTTAAATTGAAAATTTTTCCCTCTGTTCCCTACACATTGTCTTTTAGCAAGCTGCCAAGCTTTAGGTGGAGAAGGGGAATGATCAGAATGTTTCTCCACTGTGCATTCTTCAATTTGACAGGCAATAGAAGGACAGAAACCTCTAACTTATTGAGAAAAGGGATTCGAGGAGAAAAATAGCAACATAAGGCAGTTTGGTTCTGTATTTTGTGTTTGATTGTTTTAGGTTTAATTCTTGATTGGTCATAATCTTCCCTCGAGTTATGATCTGTGTCCCTATATAAAAAACATGTTCCAGTCAAGATAATGTTTGATGGAAATAACACTCCACTGGCTAGAAGGACCAGTTATGAGCACAAATAAATGTTGAAGGATTAACGTGAGCAAATCCAGACTGCTTTAGAGACAGTGATTGAAAAAGCGAGAGCTTCGTCGCGACCCATCACTTTTCTGACCCTGAAGCGAATCGATTTACAAAAGCGAGCGCTTCAATACGAAGCGAAGCGAAAAAAGCGATCACTTCATTTAAATGGGTCAATTTTAAATTTAAAAAAAAGATTGGGTCTTTTTTTTATTATACAAAACATAGACCCCAACCAAAAGCGAAGACATTTCTTCTTCTTCTTCCATCGAGCATCGACTGCTGCTGCTGCTGCTAGGGTTTGCTGCTCCAGCCTCCAGGTCATTTTTCTTCCTTCTTCTTTTCTTCTCTCTTCTTCCCGTCGAGGCGTCGACTGCTGCTCACTGCTTGGGCAGGCAGCAGTCTTTTTTTTCTTATTATTTAGCCTTTATTTATTAATTTTTGTGTGTATTTCAGTTTCTAAACTTAATTATTACGTTTTGAAACTGATTTCAGTATATTAAACTTAATTATTATATTGTTTTCAGTTTTTTTCCTTTTTCTTTGAAATGTTACTGATTTGAGTTATTAAATTTAATAAGGTGTTGCTGATTCCAGTTATAATATATATGTTATATTTCATTATGTTTGATTTTCTTATATCTTAATAGGGATTTAAAATGTCTCAAAGTTTGAAAGAGAAAGACCCAGCTTGGTGATAAAGTTAATGAGAAGAATAGTACAAATGTTATATGCAAGTTTTGTAACAAGATTACCACGGGGAGAATTTATCGCTTTAAATTCCATCTTATTGGTGGCGATAGTGTTACACCCCATGTTTTCGTACATGAAAGTATGCCATAAGTGAATTGATGAAAGCTCGGGAATGAGATGTTACATCCCGCATTTTCGGACGTTAAGGTTTCGTCGTAAAGTTAATCGACGCAAGCTCGGGAATGAGATTATTTTGAGGTTACAAGTATTATAATATTTCAAACAAGGCATAAGTAAATTCGTAAAGGTGAGAGGGTAAGCAAATCGAAGAAAATAAATTTCGTCGAAGTTTGACATTTTGGGATAAAATATGGCCCGAGCTAAAATACCCGGTATTTATGGACTAGTACCATACAAAGTACCACATGGCCATGATAGTGAGGTGTATAAGGTATGCTAAAAATGAGCAATATTTTAAGTAATTTGGGATAATTCTTAATCATGTGGATAATTGGTTAATTATTGATTAGTGGGAGATTAACTAGTTAATTAAGGATTAGTGAGTAATTAATTAAGACTTTGGGGATAAGGCTTAAGGGTCCTAAACGTGGCAGCCACCCCCTTAACAATAATATGACTCTTAAAAAGGTCTTGCAAGATGTCAAAATTTTGAAGATGTGGTTAATCACCACTTGAAGTGGGCCCACATTCCATTCAAGCTCACTTTAAGATTTGAGACCATTTGGCTTCATTTTAGTCTCTTAAAAATTCCAGGAGATGCAAACTAATTGTTCTTTCCATAAGGAACTTGCAGTAGACCATAATTGAAAAAAATCATAGTACTTTCATACCCCAGTACCAAATTACCACGGTGGAGCAATTAGTAGGCGTTGGATTTATGTTACTATTGTGAAATTTTGCAATATAAAGGGAGTACGGTGTAATCTTTCTCAAGAGAATCGACTCAGGAATGTTAAGGCTATCCCTTATTTCTTTTGGCATGATCCATACGACACAAATGAAACGAGAAAATGCACAATTTCCATACATGACTCTATTCATAAAAATATTAGAGATGCTTATGTTCTTGATTCCCCACGTGTCATATTATTTTATCATCTGTTCATGGGTCTCAGAAAATACGTAAGTTGATAAAGTTTATTTCATGATATTAATCAAAGGCAAAATGGTCTTATAACACTCCGAAAGATTTTATTGACGTACTTCTCGTGCATTGCATTCATTTACATTGACCCATGACCAGATGGCGTTATATACGCGTATATATGTATATTATATGTATATGGGATATGGGAAAAGGTTACACGTTATATACGCACCACCACCTGATCAGCTGGTATACGTTGATGATTTTGCCCACAATGGCCAAGATGATATGATGGGATGCCCTCAGAGGCCTGATGATGTTATGAAACATGTACCTATGCATGACATGACATTCATACGCATATGCATGACACTAAGTATTTCATGATTTACCGAGTTATCCAGACTTACAGGTTGAGTCATTTACTCTATATTTCTTCCATGTCTGTTATGTACTTATTAATGTGCCTTACATACTCGGTACATTATTTGTACTGACGTCCCTTTTGCCTGGGAACGCTGCGTTTCATGCTCGCAGGTCCCGATAGACAGGTCGAGAGTCCTCCAAGTAGGCTATCAGCTCAGCGAAAAATGTTGGTGCGCTCCATTTGCTCCGGAGTTACTTATTTGGTCAGTATAATTAGGACATGTATTGATTGGTATGGCGGGGCTCAGTCCCGACCTTTATGATACTTATGTACTCTTAGAGGCTTGTAGACAGATGTCATGCATACGAATACTTGTATGGCCTTGTCGGTCTATGTTTAGAGTTTATAAATGATCATGTTGGCCTATTAGGCCAGTATGTCACGTGTATATGATGATGTAATAAGAAAGATACGTTACGTTGGTACTTGGTTGAGTAAGGTACCGGGTGCCCATCGGTTTGGGTCGTGACAGATAGAAATGTCACAAGTTGTCCGAAATGCCCGCCGAAGGTGAGGGAGGAAATAAAGAATTTTGATGAGAAGAAAGAGCTAAAACATCAAATGAGTCATTAACTATTTGTGACCAATCTTGATGATGATATGGAAGAAGGTGACGCTGCTAATTTGTCACTTCCAACAAAACGGGAAAGAGATGCAATCTCTTCAAGCAATGGATCAATGGGTACGAGTAGGACTAAAAGTCCTATAGATTGTTATTTCCCAAAGAAGCCAGAAGCAAAGAGCGGTGGAAAAGATTTGCAAGAAATTGCCAAGGACATTTTAAGGGATCGTGCAATTAAAGCTTTTGCACGATGGGTCTATAATGCAGGGCTACCATTCAATTGTGTCAACTATACTGGCACTTTTGGAGACTTTATTGAGGCCGTTGGTCAATATGAACCTGGAATGAAGCCCCTCACTTATCATGAAATCATAGGTCCTTATCTAAATAAGGAAGAAAATGAGACCAATAAAATTATGGAGAAACATAAAGTTGTATGGAACAAGTATGGATGCTCCATTATGATGGATAAGTGGACGACAGGAACTGGAAAAATGATTATTAATGTGTCGGTAAATTCTCCCAAGGGAAGTTTGTTTCTTGAGTCTATTGATGCTAGCGACGCGTCCACTGACCACAATAAAATGTTCACCTTGTTTCAGAACATCATTGAAAAGATTGATCCAAGCAATGTTGTTCAAGTGGTCACTGATAATGCGAGTAAAAATATTAAAGCGGGTGGTATGGAAACTGGGCAAAGAAAGCAGGAGGGAAAGAAGCTGCACGCAAGATGTCTTCACAAAGAAAATACGCTCCTTGCACCATACCACCCGCTTTAATATTTTCACTCGCATTATCAGTGACCACTTGAACAACATGGCTTGTGCCAATCTTTTCAATGATGTTCTGAAACAAGGCAAACATTTTGATGTGGTCAGTGGACGCGTCGCTAGCATCAATAGACTCAAGAAACAAACTTCCCTTGGGAAAATTTACCAACACATTAATAATCATTTTTCCAGTTCTTGCCGTCCACTTATCCATCATAATGGAGCATCCATACTTATTCCATACAACTTTATGTTCCTCTACAATTTTATTGGTCTCCTTTTCTTCCTTATTTAGATAAGGACCTACGATTTCATGATAAGTGGGGGGCTTCATTCCAGGTCCATATTGACCAACGACCTCAATAAAGTCTCCAAAAGTGTCAGTATAGTTGACACAATTGAAGGGGAGCCCTGCATCATAGACCCATCGTGCAAAAGCTTTAACTACGTGATCCCTTAAAATGTTCTTGGCAATTTTTGTAAGTCTTTTCCACCGCTCTTTGCTTCTGGCTTCTTTGGGAAATAACAATCTATAGGACCTTTAGTCCTACTCATACCCGTCAATCCATGGCTTAAAGAGATTGCATCTATTCGCCGTTTTGTTTGAAGTGACAAATTAACAGCTTCACCTTCTTTCCATATCATCATCATCATCATCAAGATTGGTCACAAATGGTTGATGACTCGTTTGATATTTTAGTTCTTTTACCCTCCCCAGATCCCACGTGTGGGATTGCACTGGGTTTGTTGTTGTTGTTGTTGTTGTTCTCAACAAAATTCTTTATTTCCTCCCTCACCTCCGGCGGGCATTTCGGACAACTTTTGACGTTTTTATCGCCACCAATAAGATGGAATTTAAAGCGATAAATTTCCCCCTTGTAATCTTGTTGCAGAACTTGCATATAACATTTGTATTATTCTTCTCATTAACTTTATCGCCATATCGCCAAGCCGGGTCTTTCTCTTTCGAACTTTAGAACATTTTTAATCCCTATTAAGATATAAGAAAAACAAACATAATGAACAAACTGAAAATATATATATAAGAACAAACTGAATATATATATATATATATATATATATATATATATATATATATATATATAAAACTGAAATCAGCAACACCTTAATTAAATTAAATTTAATAACTGAAATCAGTAATATTTCAAAGAAAAAGAAAAAAAATTGAAAAATAAAATATAATAATTAAGTTTAATATACTAAAATCAGCAAAGAAACAACATTTCAAAATATAATAATTAAGTTTATAAACTGAAATACACACAAATTAATAAATAAAGGCTATATAAGAAGAATAAAAGGAAAGAAAGGAAAAAAAGACTGTTGCTTGCTCTAGCAGTGAGCAGCAGTCGACGCCTCGACCGGAAGAAGAAGAAAGAAGAGAGAAAAAAAGGAGAAGAAGAAGAAAGAAGAAAGAAGAAAAAAAAGAAGGAAGAAAAATTACATGGAGGCTGGAGCAGCGAACCCTAGCAGCAGCAGTCGATACTCGATGGAAGAAGAAGCAGAAATGTCTTCACTTTGGGTTGGAGTCTATGTTTTGTATAATAAAAAAAGACCCAATCTTTTTTTAAAAAGCAATTGACCCATTTGAATAAACCGATCGCTTTTTTCGCTTCGCTTTTCTACGTCGCTTCTTGCTTCAAGTATTGAAGCGCTCGCTTTTGTAAATCGATTCGCTTCAGGGTCAGAAAAGCAATGGGTCGTCGCCTCGCGCCGCCTCTCGCTTAAAGCGACGAAGCGCTCGCTTTTTCAAACACTGAGTAGAACCAGTTCAACAACCAATATTGACAATAACAAGATAGAAATTTATGACCTGATTGTAAGAACCTTTCTCTATGCATGGATGTGCAAGCAAAAAGGTAAATAGCAAAAAACCCATCATCTGTAGAAGTAACTCAAGATGTCTTCACAAAGCAAATACAGTCATGAAGAGACACTCGTGCACAAATGTCAGATTTAGACACTTAGCTCAATTGTCGAATGATCATGAAGAGACACTCGTGCACAAATGTCAGATTTAGACACTTCTTAGCTCAATTGTCGAATGATGTTCAAGTAAACAACTTCTGTTATTAAATTTTCAGCTTAACACACTGTTCGTTCACTTTTCTTTATGGGCCCACAATTAACATGCAATGTTTCTGGTCTTTATGCCCGTGGGTATCATCTGTTTTGATCGAATGGGTCTCACTAGTTTGACTACTAAAAAGCGCATCGGAAGATAAGAATTTTCTTTTCGTTTCTTCTCCTTGTTCACATCTGATGTAGGACACATTCAGTCTCTATCCTACAAGGATACTCTTCTTCAAACTGGAGTTATACTTTTCTCCTAATAATACGCCTCACTTGGAGATCATCAAACTCCCCCCGACAACACTCCCCTCACTCTCTCTCTCTCTCCCTTTCTCTCTTTGCAACACATTGCAATTCTTTTTTTTGTTATATGTCATTGCAACTCTACCACTTGTTGGCCCGAAGTTTTTGTTTCTAAACGGCAACTACCATTAACATATCCACAAGATGTTGTAGAAATATGAATGCGAAGATGGATGTGCAGCCATAAAACATTAAACAAAAGAATAAATAATCACATAACGAATACAAGTAGCACATGTAAAGGATAAAATGAGAGAAGGTTGTCCGAGATAGTTAGGCCATGTCATAGGTAGAATACCAAATACACCGGTCCATGACCATGATTGTAAAACCATGATGATTATTGTGTTAAAGGGGGTCAATGTAGACCTAAAATCGTGTGGAGAGAAGTTGTCTCGAAATCTATGGAGTTACCGATGAATAAAACACAACTAATGCACAAGATAAATTTGCAGCCACTACCAACTAGTTGGAATTAAGGCTTAATCAATTGGTATACTTCCATTCGATATGATGTTTTCCAAGATTCTTCTAGTTTATTTAGAGATTTACATACCAGTATAAAACATCGAGAGTTCCTAGCATAAGAGAACCTAATTTGTCATTACACTAAATAACGGTGGTGTTCAGGCCAACTCGTGTACTCCATACCTACTACTTCACACAGGAGATGCATCTGGTAGCTCTGTCCATCAAAGTTTAGACATATGAGAAGAAATCACCTAAATTTTTTTGCTCTATTAGAATTTAAACTGTAGTCTCTCATGGTCCATTCTAGCTTTATTGACCATTAGGTCAAGCCTTTGGCAGTAGGAACCTAAGGCTTTATTGAGTGTGGGGATGAAATGGATTCAGATGGAGCAAAATGGATATTGAGAATGCATATTGTATCATCTTGTGTTTAGTATTACAAAAAGACATCGCTCTGACGCTTAAAACGATGAAGCAATGCGAAGCTAGGAGTTATCGCTTCACGGATGAAGCAATGCGCTCTAGAGAAGTGTGCGCTTCAAACGATGATGCGCAAAATGGTCCCAACGAGAAGAGTTTGGTTCTTTAAGTTGCAAAACCGAGGAGTTGGATTTATATCGGCATTACTAAATGTTGGATAGTGAAATTAGTTATTGTAATTACAATTTGCATATTGTAGTACAAAATTCTTATATGTTTGATAATTTTTTATTTTCGGTAAATTGTGCGCTTCGTTGCATAGAAATTTGCTCTTCACTTCTTACTTTTCACTTCAAGCTTTGTGAACCTTGTCGCTTTTTTGTACTTTTCGCCTTTAAAAAACACTGGGTGTTAATGTATAACTTCCATCTTGCCCTTTATGGTTCTAGCTATTATATCTTTCGGCCAAATGGGTATCCGATGTTTTCCCATTAAAAGGCACCTCGGTATATAAGGATTTTTAATTTCTTGTAAACTCAATGATGAACTCCTCGTACAATCTAATATATGACATGCTATGTCTGCCCCCAAAAGGGGCTCGCACTTGTGGTCAACACCCTCAGATTTACCAATGGATTGTATCTCATTTAATCAACAAAATGATAGATGAATCTGCAAAAGAGAGGCAAATTTTGTGGATTCTCCCAACATCATATGCTCATAGCATTGACCCGCTACCAAGTTTAACGTTTGGTCAATAGAATCGAAAAATGGCACATTTCACTGAATCTGAAAGGTATGGTATGAACTATGAAGTACTGCATTAGGAATTACAATAGTCTAACTACTTCCCCATAACCCTCCCTAACCTCCCCAAAACTCAAAAGCTGAATCTTTTCCATGGAACTGGAAACTCCCAGATCCAATGCAGTTAACTACTATCTGAAATTTTTTCCCAATATAATTCAAAATGTTGCGAACCTCTAGAGTCAGAGAATCACAAATTCTTAAGTACTGGTATGAACTCGTCCAAACGGAACTAAACAGAATTGATGATTCATACAGCCGACCCCAACTAGTTTGGAATTGAGGCATAGTTTGTTGCAATGAACAGTAGCTAAAGCACAATTTCCCACACACCACAATCCTTAGCACACACAAAGCTCAGATTCTTAACTCACAACGTGTAATGATATTGTTAACCAACTCAACATAAGTAACTTCCCTGCAAACAAGAATATATGTTGTTTCATTAATCTTTGAATGCCAAGTCTAACTCTCCACCCATTCCCCAAGAAATGTTTTTTTTATAAGGTCCTCCATGCCTATATAGTTGTCAGAATCATTAATCCAACTAAAAGAACCAAAGGTTAGTTAATTAACACTAATCAACTTAGGGTTAATTACCAATCTACCTTCTTGATATGCTAATGAACTAAGGTCAAGAACTCCAAAAAGCAAATTGATTTGCTTAGTTGAACTTCCACAACAAATTAGAGCACCTAGAAACTCAGTATACCTAAATTTGCTTAGAACCATACTTCATGAGTAATTTTCCATTAAATACAGTAAGCTAAAGCAAAATCTTTCCCATACATGATATACCATAATGCTTAACAAACCCAAAAAACAAAAATCATTGTTTTTTTCAATTAATAGCAACCAATTAGCAAAGTCCAAATTTCACAAGAAAATAGAGAACTTTGAAAACTCAAACACAGACCTGAATTGCCTTAGGACCATACTTAAACATTACACCGCGGAACTGCTTTTTCCCAGTAATAGGACCAGCACCGGAGACACTGTCAGCACCGCCGGCTGCGGCGGCCGGATTTTTATTAGACATCTTGACACTAGCGGAACGGCCACGAACTATGCCGGAAAACCAAGAAGACGATGAAGAAGATGAAAAAGAAGCAGAAGTTGACAGATCCATTGATTAAGCAAAAGGGTCTGGTTTCAACAAAAATAATTTCATTTTTAGATGTTTGGATTTGGTAAAAAAGTCTCCATTGATCGAAGGTTTTAAGATGATATAAGAACAGGCAGAACTGACACTACTGAGATAGTTTTGAAATTATTAATTAAAAATGGAAAAATGTTTAATTATTAGTACATGCTTTATTAAGCAAAAATGAAAAAATGTGTAAGGCCTTTCCATTTATTTACTGTATTTTATAATATTAATATTATTTCTGTAATTTCTGTTATTGTTACGAATTTATTGTCTCTATCACTTCATGATTTTCTGTTATTGTTACGGATCTATTATCTCTATCAATTCAGGGTTTCAGGGTTTCTGTTGTTGTTACGAATCTATTGTTTCTATCCTTTCAGGATAAGAGTAAGGTCTGCGTATATTTTATCCTTTTCAGACCCCACTAATAGAATTCAACTTTGTTGTTTGTTGCTTTATTAGGCAAAGAGAGGAATAGTAGGAAATTCACAATCCAAACTCCAAGAATTATTTCTTTACCACCAAAAAAGATTAGATTTCATTTATGTAATCTATTGATAACTGTAATACCGAAAAATTAGTCGAGAATTTACAAATAATATGTTTTATCAACAGTTCTTTCTCATATATAAATATTGTCTCCGGTTTTTGATTTAGCTCTTTTCTATGTTGTTTTTAACAATCAATTATTTTGACTGACCGGTCAAACGTGCAGTTGGTTTCTTTTTAATCTAATAATCTATTTTATTTTGGGTATTTATAGTTAGTTTTTATGTGCTTATAAACTTTTTTACCTTTTTTTTTTTTTTTTTT